TGGGGTCGCTGTTCCGTACCCCACTGCACCACTGTCCATATCCTGGCTGTGATGTTATACGATGGTTTTGCAAGATGTTATCACTGGGGAAAACTGGGTTAAGCTCCAAGAGGATCTCTCTGTACTATTTCTTACAACGGCATGTGACTCTCAAAAACCTTTTCACTTAAAAAAAAAAAATCCTTCTTGCCCGGCCAGTGTGGCTCAGTTGGTTGAGCATCATTCCAGGCACCGGGAGGTTGCTGGTTCCATTCCCGGTCCAGGCACATGCCCGGGTTGCAGGCTCGATCCCCAGCAGGATGCGTGTAGGAGCCAGAGAATGGATGTTTCTCCCTCATCGATGTTTCTCTCTCTCTCTCCCCCTCCCCTCCTCTCTCTGAAATCAATAAAAACATATTTTAAAAAATTAAACTTAAAAAAGTCCTCCATAACTAAAAATTTCCAAGTTTAAGACCCTGCTGGATCATTTCATGCATCTGGACCAGAAGCGTGTTCCAATTAAAAAATACACAATTAAAGGTCTGAGGAGCGAGCGAGGGGAGGTGACGAGCACCAAGCGCAGCTAGATACCAAAACCATTTGTGCTTCAGCACGTAGTTCTCCTTAGCTCCAGAATCCCAGCTTACAACACACACACGCCCCTCCCGCAAACACCTGTGAGCCATTTGGAAGGAAATACCTAAGAAAGCAGTACTGATAGAAAAGAACAGAACATGAGGGCTCCAACGTGGGGAAACCATTCCTGGCTTGCAGCAAGATGGGAAGAGTATCCTCTTTGCTGGAGTTGACTTCGAAATGCAAAGAGCCAGACCAGAATCCTGCTCGTCACAGAAGGTCTTAGGAAGACAATTATCTGGTGTGACAGCCTGCAAAACCACACAGCCAGTGGTGAACCCCAAAGCTGGTGAGTGAGTGAGTGTGTGTGTGTGTGTGTGTGTGTGTGTGTTGCATACCTTATATTTCTGGTTGAAGCCAGAGGTTGGTTCAAGTCACCTGAATTAGGTGTTTTTGTAAAAGACTGGGAGGTTCTGCAGTGAAGACAGTGCTTCGCTAGAGGCTGGTTCATCCGGCTAGTGCATTCCGTCACTGGCTGTTGCCCACAGCAGCCTGCTTGTGGCATAAACCAGGACACTCCTCCTTAGGGCGTCCACACCAGACACGCAGTCAGCAGCTCTTCATGCAGAACACAGTAGGGCCTGTTGGGGTACAGGGAACCCTAAAATGAGGATTGAGAGCGCCCACATGGGGACGCCCCACTCCCAGTCCTTGCACGCCGGTCTGTGATGGATGTTTCCCACAGTGACCCCTGCCAGAAGCCAGCACTCGAATTGTCTCAGACATCCCAATACAGAAACCTGCATAGGAGACCCCAGGAAGCCACCCCATAGCGCCTGTGCTTTGTGGCAACTGAAAAGACAGGCCTTTGTGTGAGTGATCACTCCCCAGGCACCCAGGGAGAGGCCCTGCTCTGCCAGGCTGGGGACTGAGGTCTTTGTGGAATGGCAGCCAGGAAGCCAGTATCAGCCTCTCTTCCTCTTTTATGTTTTTCTTTATATATTTTTATTGATCTCAGAGAGAAGAAGGGGGAGAGAGGGAGTGAGAGCTAGAAACATCAGTGATGAGAGTCATTGATCAGCTGCCTCCTGCATGCCTCCTGCTGGGGATCGAGCCTGAAACCCAGGCACCTGCCCTGACGGGGGAATCAAACCGTGACCTCTTGATTCACAGGTTGATGCCCAACCAGCCGGGCTCAGCCTCTCTTCTTTGCACCCCTCCTCTTTCTATTTATGTGTCTCCTTCTCCTTCAGATCTCATTGGAAGATGCTGTCTAACGGAAGATTTTATTAATTCCATCCCCACCACAAGAAACACCCAGAAGACTGACCAATATGTGCCTGATGAGATCCACCACAGCCACTATCTAGTCTGCACAGAGGCCTTGAGCGCCACTCCAATGGCCTGACACCACCCCTCCGTGAACACACGCCAGCAGCAGTGTCTGTCGCGAGTCACTTGTCCTGACCCAGAGCACTCTGCCCCCAGCTGGTTCCGAATCCTTCCAGCACAGGACCTCCTGCCTTGTCCCACTGCTTATTCTCTTGTGACAATGCACTTGAATGTAAGTGCAGAGGGCAGGGACTTCAGTCAGCCTTGTTTGTTACTCTTCTCGGAACACGGCCCCTGGCACATAGTAGCTGCTCAATCAACAGTTCTTGCAAGACTGACGGTCTAACCTGAATCTCAGAGCTGAGGCTCGGTCCTGCTTCTCTTGATTATAGCTTTGCTCTTTGATCATAACTTGTGTGGCCCACTGGCCATTCTGGAGGAATTCCTCTCTTTCTCCAGAGCCTGAAGGCCTCGTCTCTTCTCGGCCTGTGCCCTCCCTGTGTTCACCCCAGTTCATGGAGCGGAAACAGACATGCAGCCCAGGGCTAAGCCCATATGTGTTGGAGCCAGTCTGAAAGTCTGAAAGGCGACAGCACATGTAGCCTTATTGCCAAGGGTGTTTGAGACATTTAAGGCTGAAACTTTCTGGAAAGGGCACCAAGGAGAGAAAGACCAAAACTCAGAGCTACACACCCAGAGCCCACAGAGCCCGAGGCTAGGTGAAATAATATCCCAACCTATTCTCTGCACACACAAAGGACAAGGGAGCTGACTGGTGGTTTTCTTTATCCCAGAGCTCATGCCCTGATTATGGCTGTCATGTGCCATGAAAATACAAAAGAGTTTGCATTTCACAAACATTTGACTGTCCCGAGTCTTGCATTTCCCACCGAGAGCCCTGCTCCGTCAGCATTCTGAGAAATGTCTTTGATCAAGCCGGGGTCTCAGCTGGGTCTCTACAGGGGAAGAGTAAACTAAAAGGGAAATTCATGCGTTTTCACCAGCCCTGGTCACCTGCTCATACAATGTAGTTCCGCTAAGGCCTTTGCAGCACTCCCTCTCTGAAAAGGGCATCCACTGCCAAAATGAGTCCACGTGCCCACTGAGGAGGGGTATGTTGGACCCCCTGGGAGGGTGGAGTGTGGACATGTGTTTGAGGGACGGGACAGTTGCTGACCCTACATGGAGGATGGCATGGAGTTCCTGTGACTGCCTGTAACAAAATGCCACGCACTGGGTGGCTTAAAACAACAGAAATTCAGTATCTCACTGTTCTGGAAGCTAGAAGTCCGAAATCAAGGTGTCAGCAGGACTGTATTCCCTCTGAAATCTGTAGGGAAATCCTTCCTGCCTCTTGCTAGCAGCTGGTGGTTTGCTGGTAACAGTGATCTTGGGTGTTCTTTGGCTTGTAGCCGTCTAACTCCAGTCTCTGTCTTTGTCTTTGTCGCCACAAAGCTTTCCCCCTGCTTGTCCCTGTCTCCTTTCTCTTCTAGGGGCCCACCTACTCCAGTTTGACCTCATCTTAATTTAAACAACTGCATCTGCAGTGACCCCATTTCCAGATGAGGTCACGTCCACGTCCTGAGGTACAGGATTTCAATGTATCCGTTTTGGAGGGGACACGATACAACCCCATAACTGAGAGGGGGTGGCCTCAGAACAAGAAGATGGTGGCCTGGGGGTTCCATGATTGGCAAGGCCCAGTGTCCTGGGAGCATGGCAGGAAGATAGCAGACCTCTGAGAGGAACAGCTATGGGGGGTGGGGGGGCAGGCCCCAGGACCCAGCGCTCTCAGCCTTAGCAACAAGCTGATGCCCAAGCTGGGCACAGGCACAGAATTAGCATTGCTGCCCGACCCGGAGCCCAACTAATACAGTGGTTGCAAATTTATAGTAAATTTGCAAATTTATAGGCTGTAAGCATATTCCTTCACCTACAGACATGCTCATTTCCATTCACTGCATGGACCAGCCCTCAGGATACAGAAGACCTGTGTCAACGTGGCAAACGAGGCAAAAAGTGACAGAAAGAGGCCAAACGCGGATGTCGGCAGGGGATAATGATGGCCTGGAGAAAACGGTGCTGGTCCAGATCCCCTCCCCTCCAAATCCTTGCAAAAAGA